GTTCCACCTGCCCATGTACTACCTGCTGGGAAACTTGACTCTGTCAGACCTGCTGGCGGGTATCACCTACATGGCCAACATCCTGATGTCAGGACACAATACTTTGAAACTGACACCGTTGTTATGGTTCCTCAGGGAAGGAGGGGTCTTCATCACTCTGGCCGCATCCATCATTAGCCTGCTGGCCATTGCAATTGAACGTCACGTCACTATGGTGACAATGCGTCCATACCACGGTGCAAAACGGGGTCGGATGATTGCACTGATTGGTGGAAGTTGGGCCCTGTCAGCATTACTGGGGATTCTCCCTATTTTGGGATGGAACTGCATACACAGATTGGACCAATGTTCAACAGTGCTCCCACTTTACGCCAAAAGCTACATCCTTTTCAGTGTGTCTGTGTTCAGCACGGTGCTTTTGTCCATTGTGGTCCTCTATGCTCGGGTTTTCCGTATTGTCCGCACCAACACGAGGCGGCAGCGGCTGAGCCTGAAATCCAGCATGAGAAACAGCCTCGCCAGGGTGACGCAGAAGTATATCGCCCTCCTCAAGACTGTCACCATTGTGGTGGGAGTCTTCATTGCTTGTTGGCTGCCTCTCTTCATCCTCCTTCTCTTGGACTTTTTCTGCCCCACGGGCCAGTGCCAGATGCTCAAAAAGGCAGACTACTTCCTGGGAGTAGCCATCCTCAATTCATTCCTCAACCCAATCATCTATACTTTGACCAGCAAGGACATGAGGAGAGCCATTCTGAGGCTACTGTGTCAGTCGTGTCTGATGACCAAAGATGGACAGGTCAAGAAGATTGGGATGCCATTTATAGAATGCAGTTTCAGCAAAACTGAGGTGCCTTCTCAAAAACTGGACCATGGACTGGATACAACCATTTCCTCGGGGAATGCAATAACCTCTCCATCCACGATTAAATCTCTTTATCCTAAACTTTTTAAGTCATAAAGACTGAAACTCTTGGATGCAGAGTCCAAAAGACTGTGAAAGAACCCCACACTGCACAAAGAAAATATTCCAATAATGGAAAGAAAGAGGTCAGTGGGGTAAACCTGAAAACTGAATAGTTGGAATGAACTACAAATGGAGGCACAGAAAGAAGACATTAAGACTTTATCCTCCAAGCAGAATTTAGCTTAAAAGACTGAAAAGACAACATTTCCTTCTGTCTAAGCAATGTTAAAGTGCGGTTGAAGGTGGATTGAGTAAATTAAATTAACTAACTTTATAAACCATGTTAAAAATGTCCGTGGATATAGTTCTTGGAGTTTAACACCTCCTCTTTCACTAGTAAAAAGGGGTTTGGTCAAATTGATAGCCTACACATACCAAAGATTATAAAACAGTCATAAAATAAAACTGGTATTATTCTCTGTATTTGAATTCTTAAGGACTTTTTAAGACAGCACTCGCAGTCTATGACGCCTGATTTTGCTGATGCTTGGGCTTCCGCTGGTTCGGAAACCCGAGGCGCATCAATTTTGCTCAGATAAGATTCTTTTGCAAACACTTGCCTGTCTGTGTTGCATAAAGAGTTAAGAGAAGTCTGAGAGATAACAGGAAAGAGGTGTCTCACTTCTCAGTGAGACTGAGAAGTGAGATACACACAATGCAGTGGAGAACGTTGCGGTCTTATTGAGGGAGAAAGGTGCAAACCAAAAGCCCCCCCCCATAACATTTTGAAATGACTGAGTGCTAAAGTCTGATGGAGAAATAGTTGGTCTTTGGGTGGGTGTGCTATTCTTGTAAAATGTCACCCAATCACCCTCAGTTCAACTGCTACACTGAAAGAAAAAGAGAAATGAACATGGCAAAAAGTCAATACACCTGTACTATGACTAGTGTGCACTTGTAAAAATATTATTGCTTTTTTTTCTGTTGCTACATGCTGACAGCTTAACCATGACTGAACCTGAATCAGCTGGCTGGTGAGTGAGCACATCATGATCTGTAAATGGTTTATTTTTTTAATCAGGTGCGTCAGAACTTTATTTGACAAAAGTGTGTGCTCGTTTAATTATTTAGGGTGTGGACATATTCACTCTCAGATCCCTTATTTTACTGTTCACCTGGAACATTTCTGCTTCTAATGTGAGGTATGCTTTTTTTAGAATAAAACCAGCCTGAGAACCACTTTTGTAGCTTGAATGATGAATGTTATTTTTTTTATATACTGAGATCTGTGTGGTGGACTTTCTGGGTTTCAGAACACATTTTTGTAACATCTGTACTATAAATTATACCTTTTTTGTAACAGTCTAAATCCAACATAACCTTTCTTTTCATAAAAGAAATAATAATAAAAATGTATTTTAAGCGATGCCAAAGAGTTTGTGATCTATTTTCATTCTCCGTAACAGATCTAAATGAGGCTGGGTGTATTTTGTCTCGAGCAACTGAAATTGTAAGTACCACAGGAAGTCAGCCCCCCGTCTCACATCTGTTAATGACATTGGGCAGCACACATCAAGGTCTGCTGGTCTCAGACTGGCTTGAACACAATACAACACTTCTCTTATGAAACAGTGAACTTTGTTATTCTGCTTTTTCTTGAAAAAAGCATAGGTAAAATTTACTATCACCTTACATTAATGTCAGTAATTTCTACATTTGTGATGAAGAAAACGCTATAGTAGAAATATACATCCTGATGCACTGAAAATCCTTTGTAACTTAAAAATCTGGCATTTCACCCATAAAGGTTACCACACGTTTCACACATTGGGAGAATGTGAAATGAGTGAATCTTTCCAATTTTTAGGTTTCATCTAAGAAGGAAGTGTTTTTATTGTTCAGTGTTTCCACAGACCAGTCACAAAGTAAATGTAAAATTCACTTAACAAAAACAAAATAACTTTAACTTAAACATTTGCTTTGTTGACATGAACAAAGTCCTGCAAGAAGGGATCTCTAACAAACCACTTAAGACCTTCACAGAACGGCACTTTTTATACAAAGGGATTGGCTTTCTCTACAAATCAGATGATTTGTTTGAGGGCACATGGTTGAAAAGATTTTATTTAGGGGTAAGAAACTGAAGTTTAGTTGAAGATTTGCAGTGTTGTTGTATGATAAAGAGGGCAGATCTTCATTTTATGACGAATCTTTCTTTGCACACTAATCTCCAGATGGTCCACAACATCCACTTTGTTTGCCAAAAATTGCACATTGCCTTTTGTGGTCAAAGAGATGGTTTGAATTTCCTCCTACTCTCTATCCTCTGATGAATCCAAATGAATTCAACCCTTCCCCAGACTGTAAAACTACAAAAATAGCTTCCCTCCCACATCAAAATTATGCCCTACTTTTTGTTTGTTTACGACATTGAAGTTTGAGGTTGTAACATGACATGGCATAGTGCAGAAGCTATCATTTCGTGTTCAATGCGAACAAAATGAAAGAAACGGTTATACAAACAGGTAAATGGCAGTGAAACTGCATTTCTTGTTTAAGTCTACTGAGGAGAGTGGGATTTCTTCTGTCCTCAGTAGAGTTTGCAGCAACAGAGACAGTGAATTGGAAATATGAACAGGCTCATAAAGAAGGCTGGTTCTGTTCTTGGGTCTGCACTGCAGCCTGAGGAGATGATTGTGCAAAAAAGGCTGCTTTATGAAATTAAGATCATAATGGACAACCCCTAAAATCCTTTTCACAAGACAGCTACAAGGTGTTTTCAGGAAGAGACGACTCGTTCAGATCTCTAGAATATCGTTTCTGTTAAAAGAGTTATCTTATCACAATCTGTAACAACTCTGAAGGAACTTAGTACATTAAATTTCCCTGTGTGATTAACAAAGGGCTTTTAAATCAAACTGAGCTCAACAGATACATTAAGGCATACATAGATTCGCAAGACCCTGCAGTTTTCCCCATGTGTTGTGACCTAAAGATATTGTTGTCTAGAAACTTGGCTCTGTTACAATGAAGCACCTTTGTTTTGATATGATTTGCACCAGCGCAGATGTTCTCCCAGATGTTGACTGTATCCACCAGAAACGTACCTACTGATAGAGGTCAAGCAGTCAGGACTTCCTTCCTGCTGTTGAAATCATACAATAAACTGCGTTGGTCGGTAAAAGCCGTAGGTCATTTGTCAGTGTTGACAAGGGACACATGCTTTGTCCACTGAGACATCTAACGTGACACACCTCATGTTAGAGCAGCAACTCGTAGGACCTACAAACTCTAAATGTTAAGCTTTGGCGCCACCTATTGCTTGAAAAGGAAATGTTGCTCCACGAGACCTTATTGACCTGAACTAGATTATATATTTTGAAAGAGGGACGAACTGATGCGTCAGCACCAGCCTGGGGCAAACTGACTTCTTTCATGCTGCGACACTGGGAGATGTTCACAAACATATTTACTGTAAAGAAAAACACCTGAGAGGCACGTTTGAGGTAAACAATTCTTACATAACAGAAACGGTGTGTGTTATGAAATTAGCTATTTATTCCAAATATTGTTTAGTTGGGTTATTGACGCAATTAATTTCTTGTTAGAACTGCAGAGTTTGCTTTGCCATACATTTGCTATATACATTTGTTTTTCATTGTTAATTTTCTTGAATCAATCAATAACAGTGTGTTTTCTACAACTGGATGGGATTCCATCAACTCCCAAATCTCTGTACTGCAGAGTTTATTTTACATTGAACAGTAAAGTTGAATGGGCTGCATGTCTTGGCACTGCTTATAGTTCTGGCTTGCTTTTCCGTCATTCTGAGAATCTCTTCGCAATAAAAGCCCCCGGGGTTGTGACGCGCTCGCTCTCCTTTACACGTCAACGGAGGCGGTCCTCGCGCGCTGGGGGAAGCTTTTATTGTGAAGGCCCACGGGAGGCTCGGCACAATGCTTAGTCACGGTGAGTTACAGCTTCCCCACCCCTCCTCCTTCCGATGTGGCCACAGATCAGTACCATGATGGAGGAATTGAGCCAGACTACGTGAGTTTCCTTTCTTTATGAGAAATATATCGTCTCAGTGACAGTTGATACTTTTATGGATCGCTTTGATAAACGAGCAGGTGGTTCGTAGCAGAAATAGTTTGAGGCATGGTTTTGTTAGCATGTTTGTGCGGCTGTTGTCGCCTTACAGCCTTCTATTATTAGGGTCCTCTATGGGTCCCGGTGTCAGCTCTATTTCCCATTTTCTTTAATTTATTGTCCGTGATGTCGCGTTTTATCGCGACACTGGCGTCCCTTGCAAACTCCCAGCCGACTGTGTCGCGCCTGTTTCGGGTTTTCCACGGCAGCTCCCTGTGATATTTGGGTGAAAACAAACCAGGAGATGGTGACCTTTTTCAGTGCCAGGAGCGAAGCGGGGGTGAGCGGCGATTTGTGTGAAGGAGGGCAGGTAGATGGCGCGGAAATCTAATTCCGTTCGGGCTTATGTAAGGACTAGCTCCACTTCTGGGTCATGTTTTGGTACATCCAGTTCCACTGTTGGCTCGGGGAGAACTTCACGATGACTCACTGAGCGGGAACGCTCTTCTGTGGGTTATACAATGCTCAGTCGTGTGTGTTTGTTTCTCTTTCGGCTCGTCACTATAAGCTCGAGAGAAACGCAGGTGGTGGGTCGTTTCCTGCTGAAAAGCACTCGTTTGATTCAGCTCTGCAGGGGCTACGGGGTCAAAGTTGAAACTCATGATCATCACACATTTAGTTATGGACTTTGACTCTGTCATTCCTACGGAACAAAATGCTTTAATCTAGTCTCCCAGAGTGTAACAGGGTTGCTTTGTGTTAAGTTTCATCCAGCTTCCGATCGGCTCTGGCCAACATCCTGGTTCCTGCTGATGTAAATAAACCCCACAGCAAGATGCTGCCAGCACCACCATGATTCAGCATTTCGCAGCTCAATCTAAGTGCTTTTATGGCTTTTAGTTTACAGCTCCTCTGTGTCAACTCTGTTTGCATTGTGTTGGAGCAGAACTTTTATTTATGCAGATTTATTAAGCCTGTCACAATAACACATTTTGCTAGACAATAAATTGTCCCAGAAGTTATCGGGTCAAGTTAACGATGCTGCTGTTTTGAGTCCAATTTCAAGTAACATAATAAGACAAATATGGACTCTCACAGATCATTTTTACACTGGAACTGGAAGAAATTTTAAATATCCAAAATAAATAAAGAAAAACACCTGAAATAACATATTAAGTGGATTCTGAAGTCTCGGTATACAAATTGGCCTTAAAAATAGTTGAGACCAGGTTGAAGCATTTTGTTGTCCAGTCTCTATAGGAAGAGGCGCGTGAGAAAAACAATGGCTTATTGCAATAGGCTTAATAGTGATCAAAATTTCTAACCTGTTAAAGTTGGAGATTGATTTGTTCATCAAGCCTGGCTGGAACTGCAAATGGAGACTTTGCATATTAAACATTAAAGACTCTCTGCTTGCTTCGCTCTAGTTGGGTGGTTCTGATGAGACTAATTTTCTCTTAGTAAAACTGAGGTAAAATATTTGTAGCCATTCCTCAACGCTTGTACTTTTCCCTTGTGAAACTATTAGTAAAGCATGAGAGATTGTCAGCAGATCCAGGGTCATGCATGAGAAGCCCATTTGTCATTCAGAAGTTTTTGTGCCTTGCACACAGGGAGACAGAGCGAGGCAGCAGGAGTTGAGCAACATGTTCTGCTCTGAAAATGTTTTACTCAGAACTTTGCAGGGGGAAAAGCTCTGCGGTAAATCTGAATCACAGCACGCTTCATATTACAGCTTTCTAACTGGCTGACTAACTTATGACAGGCCCTGCGTTGACCTTGCCGCACGTCATTAATTGTTGGCGGCAGAAGCTGCTCAGAGAAAACAAGCTGATCTGTGAAAAGTGCATAGACATGCAGCTTATGGATACCTGTGTGCAACGGTGCCGTGTTGTATAACTGAACTCTCACTGCCTCATTGTTGCTTTGATTCTTCCTTTTCAGCGATCACCAGACTGTTGCTGTTAGTTCACTATATTGCATGCAGGTCATGATCTGGAAGGAAGAAGTTAGAATCACACAGTGGTGCGAGGCGATGATTTAAATGAATCTCTTCACAGCTCAAACCCTCGCCTGTTAACTTCCACGAGTTTCATTTTTCATTCACTTTTAAAGCTGATTTCAACCAACGTTTTCCACCCAACCAATCAGCAGGGTACACCCACTACCATAGGTCATGGTTGAATTGTTACAATGTGTGAATTAAGCTTTGTTGGGGTTGTTAAACGTCCTTTCAGACATCATTGTGGTTGTGTTTTTGTGCGAAACGTTCCTTCTGTGCCAGCCCCAGATAGACGGGTCACAGGACAGAGTAAAAACCGAGTCATGCTGACCGGCTGGACTAAAGCCCAGTTTAACCCGAGCAGGACTCCCCTCTTCCTCCTCATACTCTGTTTGCAGTCATAGGGCTATCGCAGCTGGATAGTTTTGTTTCCAATTAATATTTTTCTTTTTTTTTTTTTTTTCTTTTTTTTATTGTTGTGTTGGTGCTTGAGTCAGTGGGTGAATCCAGTTATTTATAAACTTTGTGATTGTTTTAGGACAGACTTGTTAATTATAAATTAAGGTCGGTGTTTACACAAAGTTTGTCACAGAAAAGTCTTCCTAAACCTTTGAATCTTTTCTGATTTTGTTATGTTTAGTTTATTGACATTTTGTGTGATAGCTCAACACAAAGTAGGTAAAAATATGTCAAGCACAGTCAGATTGAATAGTAAATTGCTATGAACATAATTTTTCACGTCTTTTCACTCATTATAAAGTGGAATTAGGTCTACAGTTTTATAACATAGCCATGCGACAAAGCCCCTCCGAGAACAGCTGGATTTAAACTGATATTACCAATTAGGTGATGTCTAAAGGCAACTGTTTGTCTTAATTTTATTTGGGGGTGTCAAAGTTAACGGGGCTGGATATGAAAGCATGTCACACTTGTCCAATTTTTTTCCATATGAATGAATTAGAAAGCCTCCACTCATTTGTTTAAATCTCGTCTTCTTCTCTTCTCAGTTGAATTCCAGAATTGGGCAACTCCAAGGAAAAGCAGCGCTGTCAGCTGTCCCTACTCAGGTCCAAGGGACACCAAGTGACCCGTGTAACACATTTGGCATCTGACCCATTTGTTGCTGTTCAGGGTCAACAACCCAACTGCCTAATCTCACTATCTGCCTCGTCTTCTCTCATCCAAGTGTTAATATCTTGATTTTTATATATATATATATATATTTTTTTTTTCCCTTTGAAAGTGGGCCGCCCCCTCCTTTTTTTTTTTTTTTTGCCTTTAAGGAATGACTAAGAAGTTTATAATGAGCTCTGTGAGAAGTGGAAAGAAAAGCATCAGTGCAGCCAAAACTAACAGTTGAACTGAACGGGATCACTCTGAGTCATAGTACCAAGTTATCTGCAAAGTTACAAGAAGATTTCTTCATTTGAAAAACTTTTACCATGTTGGAGCTCTGCATAACCCCATATCTAGCACTGAGGAAAAACTTGGATCCAAATATCGTGATGACTTAATGAACGATTGAAAGACTTTTCTCTGGGGGGAAAAAAAAGAAAATCAGGCAAATCTGGTCCCGTTTTCTGTCGTCGCCGTCTCGCCCCCTGCCTTTTAAATCCTTTCTTTATTTTTACCCGTGTCTGCATGAGGTGCAGGGATGCCGCATCACGTCGACCGCAGTTCATGAGAGAGAGGTTTACGGTGGAGCAGAGTGGGAAGACAGGAAATGACAGAGTGCCTGACAGAATGCAAGGCGCTGGTGACTCCATCCACGCGCAACGGTCACCGCGTCTTCAGCTACACGTTGGAGAGCCACACCTCGGCCGCCTTCGCCATCATGAACGAGCTGCGCCTGGAGAAGCAGCTGTGCGACGTCACCCTGCGCGTGCGCTACAAGGACCTGGAGGCGGTGGACTTCGTGGCTCACAAGGTGGTGCTGGCCTCGTCGTCGCCCGTCTTCCGCGCCATGTTCACCAACGGCCTGAAGGAGTGCGGCATGGAGCTGGTCCCCATTGAAGGGATTCATCCCAGAGTAAGCCAGAGTTTAATAGCACTGCTCTCTGTTTCAGCATTAACCGGTCACATTTGCAGTAACAACATAGGGGTTTTATGATAAATGCTGTGGTAAAAGCACATCAACTATCCCACTTAGTTGGTTTGACTCTGAGGTTTCAGCGTGTGAATTATCTCTCTTGACTGATCTACAGATAACATCAGATGGTAACACTGTGTGTCACATGGCGGTTAGTCTATAGAAAGAATGTAGGTCTGATCAGATGAGGTAAACATAGAAGCTAAAAAGTAAAAAGTCAGCTTTTGTTTCACCTAGAGGTATACTAAGTTAGCATTGCATAAGTCTTATCTGAATGAGTCATAAAACCACTTTAACTTTTCCTCATTTTGTCACATAAGGTCCACAAACCTCAGTGTACTTTATGTGAGAGACCAATGGAAAGTAGAAAATAGTTTTGAGCAAAATGATTTCAATGTTTTTTACAATTAAACATCTTACAAATGCAGAGTGCATTTGTATTCAGCCATCATACATCAATCCTTTGGAGAACCATCTTTCACTAGAGCTACACTAGCAGGTCTTTGGGGTATGTCTGTGCCAGTTTTGTACCTCTGTAGATGGAAATATTTGCCTGTTCTTCTGTGGAAAACATCTGTGAACAGATCAGTTTTTGCTCTGTTACTTGGTCTTCACAAGGCTGTTTAAATCCAGAACAGCTGGATTTATACTGAGACTTACTCTATTTACCACCCAGCAGAGGTCTAAAAGAAATAGGTTACTCTTGAGTTTATTTACGGGTATCTGATTACTGTGGGTTGCATGATGCACTTTGTAACACTTTTATTTGTAAAAAATACAAAACTAGGGCTGATACTTTAACTTAATAATTTGGAAAATTACATATGCAAGTTTTAATGCAATTAATGGCTTTATATACAAAGGTTGCAGACAGAACTTTTGTATCCACATGTTTTTAGTCACCTTAAATCTGACACACAAGCAGCATCCACAAACACAAAACTTTTTTTTCTTTCCCAAAAACAAATTCACTTGTGCTTTAAAAAACAATCTGATAGGACACCGGAAAAGACTACCGTTGTGCTAAAATTAATTGGCCTACCACAGAAGCTACTCAAACCTGAAATCCAATCTCAATGCAAAACATGTTGCAGCAAGCACTGACGTCCCCAATGCTAATGTCAATTTCCGCATTTCAAAAGAAGTATATTTTCAAACAATGTACTGGAAAGCTGCATGGTCATTACAGCATTTTTACACATTAACCTAAACAATAAATTTAAAATCAATAAATATCTTTGTTGTTGAACTTGTATATCTATTTATTCAATAAATAAAACTTTTTTTTTTAATTGAAAACATTGCTTATTTTGTTGAACACGTGGGTTTCTATTAGAATCTTATTGCAATTGTTATTTACGGACCCTGAAATTAACTCTGAACTTTTAATCAACTCCCACCACAAATAAAAACATGTATCTATTTTCTTCTGAATCACATTTCCATACTATATGTGTGGGGCTGTCACAAAAGGAATCCAAATAGTTTGTGGTTGCAGAGATCAGTGGGTGAGAATAGTTTTTTTTTCGAGGCACTGTACATGTGGTGGCTCACATACAAACAAGGGCACTGTGTGTGACTCATCAAAGCTAATCTCTGTTCCCCCGTTGGCAGAAATGAAAGGATTTAAGCAGCTTTATTTTTCATTTCTTTTCCCTTCTTTGACCCTAACCCTGCCCCACTTCCCCGCTCAGGTTATGGACCGATTGATTGAGTTTGCCTACACTGCCAGCATCTCTGTGGGGGAGAAGTGCGTCATCCATGTGATGAACGGCGCCGTCATGTATCAGATAGACAGTGTGGTCAAGGCCTGCTGCGACTTCCTCGTCCAGCAGCTCGACCCCAGCAACGCCATCGGCATCGCCAGCTTTGCTGAGCAGATCGGTTGCACGGAGCTCCACCAGAAGGCCAGAGAATACATCTACATGAACTTCAGCCAGGTACGGCCAGAAGAGGGATATTTCAGAAACAAAACCAAGGAGGTTCCCTTTCGGAACTGAAACATAGATGAAATGAAGAACTGCTGAGGTTAAAGTTTAATACACCTACTTAGGATAAGCTTCGTACTGAAATGGTGGAAGTGCTGTGTGGTAAACAAGTTCGTACAGCTTTCAGTTTGTCCATAATTTCTGTTTGAGTGCCTGCACACCTGCATATTCTGAGAATGCACTGAGTCATGATTTTCCTTAACAGGGTTTACTTGAGGTTGGAGCACCACTTATTGCAAAAGACCTGTTTACGCTTGAAAATAAAGGAAACAAGAGTGCACTTTTAGGGTGCATTTACACCAGACTTGTTGACTCTGCTTTAATCGAGCTCAAGTTCATTTTCCTAGAAAGTGCAATTCGTTTGGAGAGGTGTGAATGCACAGTCGAACTGTGACGCAGACCTAAAAAAGCTAACTCTGGTCCACCTACAAACTTAAGTCTAAGTTCAGTTTAAGTGAACTCTGGTGCGGTTCGAATGCTTATGTGGATCGAAGACCGCTCCAAAAGCAGAAAGCAAACTGTGGCGCACAACATTTTGGGCAAATAGAACGAAAACAAACACGAGAGTCTTAAAACTAAAGGGTGAAATGGCTCATGGTCTTTTACCAAAGGGAAATTCTACAACTGCTAAAATCTACCAATACTCCTTTTTTGTTTACATTTTGTGAAGAAGGAAGTTGCGTCAGTTTCTTGTTCGGAGGTTTTTGTGACGTTTTCTTCAGTGGTTCTTGATGCAGCGCCACCAAAGTTGAGGGCGTTTTGTTTCGAGTTTGTTAAACATGGGCCCCACTCGAACCAAGTCTACCGGACTGTCGGGTGTGAAAACACTCTTGGTGTTTTTTCAGAGAGATACAGCTCATGTTTCAACTATCTCTGCATTGCTTTGTGTCTGATTTGCCAAAGGCAATGGGGTGTCATGAAAGAATACTTCATCAAGTCTTAATATGTCAGTACTTAAATTACAAAGACATTCCTGCAAGCACTGGTATGACAAAAATAATGTATTTCCACTTCCTCTCCCAGGTTGCAACCCAGGAGGAGTTTTTCAACTTGTCCCAGTGCCAGCTGGTCAACCTCATCAGCCGCGATGAGCTCAACGTGCGTTGCGAGTCCGAGGTCTTCCAGGCATGCGTGGCCTGGGTCCGCTACGACCAGGAGAACCGGCGACCGTACGTCCAGGCCTTACTCCAGGCTGTCCGCTGCCATTCCCTCACTCCCAACTTCCTGCAGGCGCAGCTCCAGTCTTTGGACTGGGACCCTCAGTGTAAAGACTACTTAGCTCAGATCTTCCAGGACCTCACACTCCACAAACCCACCAAAGCCGTTCCTTGCCGAACTCCCAAGGTACCGCAGCTCATCTACACCGCAGGGGGATATTTCCGCCAGTCTCTGAGCTACCTGGAGGCCTACAACCCCTGTACAGGTGCCTGGCTTAGGCTGGCTGACCTGCAGGTTCCCCGCAGTGGGCTGGCAGCCTGCGTCATCAGCGGACTCTTCTACGCCGTCGGCGGCAGAAACAACGCCCCTGACGGGAACATGGACTCCAACGCGTTGGACTGCTACAACCCTATGAACAACTGCTGGCACCCGTGTGCGCCAATGAGTGTTCCAAGGAACCGAATTGGGGTCGGCGTCATCGATGGCATGATTTATGCGGTTGGCGGTTCACATGGGTGCATCCATCACAACAGCGTGGAAAGGTAAGTAAGCTGAGCTTGGCCGATTGAAGTTGATACCAACAGGTGCAATTTGCTTTACAAGTGTCTTTTGATGTGAAGCTTCCTGGCCCAATGGGATTTAATGTCATTATGTTTGAGTTTCTGTGGGTTGCCTCTGCCCAGAACCTGATATTAATAGCATGGACTTAAGTTTTTGGTATGTAGTCTGCATACATACTAACTGTAAGTAAAAGAAACTTCCTGGAATTTATCTGGTGATGTTTCACTTCCTGTAATTTTTTTTTTTTTTTTTTTTTTTTTTGCTCAAGACTATTTATATGTCTTACTTCTGCAACACTGAATAGTGTTGCTACGTATTTTCTTTAATGCAGTATTTTGCAAGTTGACACATTATTTAAAAAGAAAAAAAAAAGAGTAATGTTGTTTTTCTCGTTTTCTTCGCTTGAGGCAAAAACACCTGCACTGAGATTACATTACCAGAGCCCGAAAAACCCAGCTACAATCCTGTCCTGCAGACATTACTCCAACCTTTTGATGAAAAGTCTTTCAAAATTACTCAACTGAACATTTTCACACAGTGTCACATTATACATTACAGCTACACACTCATGTTTATTTATGGGAATTTTATATGTCAGAGCAACATAAAGTATCATGTAATTATAAAATAGAAAAGAATGGTACATGGTGCTGAATAAACAGAGCAGTCATGAATGGCAGCCTGCTCAAAGCTGCAGCGTAGGGCTGCATCATATTAGGAAAACATGTGACGTGCTATAATTTTTGGTGAGTGTCACATTAATGATATATTTTCCATTAAATAATCAAACAGCAAGTTGTCTGTCCAGCTGCTGGAAAGACATATTGTTGAGATATTTCCATCTCAACAAGGTTTTATTGAAAACATTGCTTTTTGTCTGTTCCCTCGACAAAGCAGTAACTAAGTTATTTCTTAATAAATTTACCACTTCTTCACCTCTGGAAACTTTAAAGTTTCATTAAACAACAAGTATCACTGAATGTATTACAGAAGTAGAGTTCCCGAATGTATGGTACTAAAACTATCTGATAACCATGATTGTAGATTAGTCAGCTCTTCACAATAATAAATTTACTATAATTTACCTATAAGCAAGACAGTGTAAACACAGAGCCAGAGCTACAACAGAATAGTTTACAAAAAAGTATATATGGTTTGTCATTTACAAAAAGTGTGCATATATTTTTTGCTGGTCTATCACATAAAATCCCAACACAAAAAAAAGAGAAAAGTCTGTGGTTGTAACTTGATATGGTATGAAAAAAATTCATGTGCATGACTAGATCTACAAGGCACTTTTGTTCCTAAATTTATTTCTGCTTCTTTCATGAACAATAGTTCAGTTTGTGAATGGTCCATTATGACAGAAAAACAGAAATCAAACTTTTAACTCAGTTTTGTCTCACTGTAAGTGTCTGTTGTCGGTATTTTAGCTGGAATGTGACCCAGAAGCAGCTGTGGACATGTGGTACAATCTTTAACCTCGTTAAGTTAAATATTCAACAGTGGATTTCAAATATAGCTGGGTTTAAGGATGAAATAGATCCAAACTCTGGCAATAATCCAAACATAATTCACAGGAAGCCAGTATTGCTTTGAAAGAGGAACATGCCCAACCTGTCTTAATTGCTAGGTAGGGACATTTGTGGAACAAACATGTTCATTCCACCGAACTGCCAGTGATGGGGGGGGGGAAGGAATCTGTGCCCAAAACGATGCACATTCTGCTTCATCTTCATTCTTTACATTAAATTGTTAGGAGGAAAGAATAGTTATGTCTTAGAATTTTGAGCTCTTTTCTGAGAAAGAGCAGAAAACTATATATAAAAACAGCACTGGAATTTCAATTGTTTACTGAAATAAAGTATGTTCACTTTTTGTGACTTCTCAGAAATCTCAGTGCACAAACAGTTTGCCCGAGTTACAACGGCAACGCCAAACACAGTCATGTGTTCACAGGTATGATCCGGAGCGGGACCAGTGGCAGCTGGTGGCCCCAATGTTAACGCGGCGTATTGGTGTGGGTGTCGCCGTGATCAACCGACTGCTTTACGCCGTCGGGGGTTTCGACGGCGCCAACCGGCTCAGCTCCTGTGAGTGCTACTATCCAGAGAAGGACGAGTGGAGGACCATGGCCCCCATGAACACTGTGCGGTCTGGAGCTGGTAAGGAAGGAGGAGGAGGGGAAAAACTGCTTTGTAGCTTTGCTTTGTGAACTGGGAGTCTGGAAAGTTACTCAACTGGTTGTGCAATTTTCCCCACTTTGTTTTTAAAGTCTAGAAACATCTGCCTGTCCAGCACCTTTGGTCTATGCTAACATAAACATGACTGGGGTGTTTGATTCAGACCAGAATGAGGCTGGTGATGCAGCACATTAAACTTTCCTGTCAGACTAAGTTCCTTCTTGAAATGTATTTTTAGTCTTGAAGTCAGACCAGTTCAGTGTCACCTCTGCTTTGAGCAGTGGAAACTGGCTGTGTCCATTCCTACAGGGCCTGGCATCACTTTTGAGTTTCATGAAGAATCCACACGTTATCTACTGAACTTATACCTTTAGAAAACAGATTTTAACATGCAGTTATGTTGAGATATTTACCTTTCATATAAAAGTGAAGCATAAACGGTGCTATTTGACTGTTTATATTTTAGATAATGTAATTTAAACTGATAAGAAATTATCTCTTTTTCTCTTTTAGGTGTGTGTGTGCTGGGTAATGAAATTTTTGTGATGGGTGGATACGACGGCACCAACCAGCTGAACACAGTGGAGCGCTACGACGTGGAAACGGATACGTGGAGCTCTGCCGCCTCCATGAGGCACAGGCGCAGTGCGCTGGGAGTCACTGCTTTACACGGACGCATTTATGTGTTAGGTGAGTTGAGGCTTGACCAAAGATTAATATCAGCCTGGAGCATATTATAGAAATAACATTGTTAAGACAATAATTATTATTATTATTATTAAAATTTTGTTTACATGGACCGTGACTCCTTAAAATGTGAGCAAAACTTTAACAGAATCCTCCAAAACGTTGTTGGATATTGCAATATAGCCTCAAGAAAAAAGTGCGTAACTGTGAAGTAGAAGCAAAAAAAATAAATAAATATTATTTTAATCTGAAGAGAGGTGGGTATATTTGTAGACAATCTTTGTAGGACAATCGTTTAGCTCCATCAGGCTTACAATAAACTGTGGCCATCTTTCCTGTCCTGGCAAAAGAAAAACTTCCCCGCGGCATGATCCGGTCATCACCGTGATTCACAGTGTATTAAGGCGATCTGCCAATTTAATTTTACTGAACCAATCTTCCAAAATTAAGGACGCACCAGATTACACCTAATCTGGTGCGTCCTTAAATTTGGAGTAAAGGGGGAAGAATACGAATGAATGGCTCAGCTAAAGTCACAATAAAATAGATTAATCTTGTGGTTGTTAGGTGAAAACATTGGAAAAAAAAAAAAAAAAACAAGTGTTTTGGTCTAAAGTATTACACACTAGAGTCTTAAATCATTTTGTAATAAACTCAAACTAAAACACCAACATCATCTTTACAGGAGGCTACGACGGCAACACTTTCCTGGACAGTGTGGAGAGCTATGACCCAGAGACAGACAGCTGGTCGGAGGTCACCCACATGACATCGGGGCGGAGCGGCGTGGGCGTGGCCGTCACCATGGAGCCGTGCCAAAAGGGTCTGTCTCGGAGTCAGAAGACCGAGAGCTTCGAAGGCTCGATCGTCCAGTCCGTCAGCTCCGATTTTAGCCAGTGTGAACCGTTTAGCTAAGGCACATGAATGTTTCCACACGCCCTCATACGTTGTTGAGCCGCCCTAATGTTTAGCTCTGCTCTGTATAAAGTAAGGGCAGACGTGTGCGGAACACCACATCCTGCCTCATTGACTTAAGGTGAATCAACACGAGTCGTATCTTATTGTCCGTGCGCTGCTGATTCTCTTCTGTAAGGTGGAAATTAGCAGCACTGAGCACATGACCCCTCAGTGCATCTGTTCTACAGCCAACAGACCATTTTCAACCAGAAAAGGGCTGGAAATTGAAATGTATTTTATTGGCTCAAAAAACTCATCAGGTCATTTTTTTTAACTGATTGAATCTGATAGGGAAACTACAATAGGACTAAAAGTAGCAGGCCGTAGTATTTAAAGTGCCATTACAGTGCCTGGGGGGGGCTTTGTTATTACTATAGTTAGTATAACGTGTCCTTGGAAAGGAGCATACCTCTTAACATGAAGTCCATGCATGACAATGGGCCTCATGCAAGAATGTTTTAGAGCTTTCCACAAAACATTTATGACTTTTTTTTTCATTCCCAATATTTGATTAAGAAGTTGCCGTTTCCAGACGGAAATGCAAAATCTGCATCGGGTGTAGCAGAAACATTTGGATCAGCTGGCAAACAGTAACTTCTAGTGGTTTTACTCTGCTGTAAGTAAAGAATTCTGTTTACTAGCTCCCCTGCTTGTAAAGATGTGTAAAAAGTCTTTAAATAAATTCATGCTTTATTATAGCAGCACATTAAAGATGTTCTAAAAACACAACATTTGCATAACGTACAAAAAACACATTAAGAATGTAATTTACACTGCAGAAACTCCCTGCCAAATATGTGTAGCTAAAGAATTTGTTTTAATCATTCTTTTTTAGGTTGATCTTAGTTTATAAAAACTTGTGATTATTAATTTGAGCTGTACCAGAGGCGCAAGTGTTTTAGTCAATACCAGTATAAGAATTCCCATTTGTTTTGCCACAATTCCCAGTGAGCAGAGTAAAAAAAAAAAAAAAAACACTCCTGAAACACTGACAATAAGCTGAATTTCTTTTAAAATCAATCAGTTTTTAGATTATGCCGTTGGAATAAAAGAGGAATTTATTCAAAAGCTTTTCCCACATTTCTAATTTTGATGCCCCAAAAGTTCCCCTGTCTTTGTCTGCACAGTGGGACTAAGGAACACCAGCTGCTCCTTAGCCATTAAACTCAGTTAATAAAAACAAGAAGCGGCATCACCATAGGAACAGTTCAACATCACCAATATGAGTCTCATTTTTTCTTTGCTGTCAGTTCAAACAGGAATCCAATATCAATGCCTTAATAAAAGCAGGACAGTTGGATTAGACTGTTGGTATTGTATCTGGGAATACATCAACAGGCTACTAAACACCGTAAGTTACACTCATCTTGTTACAACGACGACCTTCAGGGGAAACCAGAATCCCGGCACTCGCATGACTGTTACTTTGACACCTTCCTCCTGCCTGCACACCTTTTGCAGCCTAAATCACACATCAGCAGCACTTTCGCTTTTCCTCTCAAGGCCCTGCAACAACTGCTTTGAAATGATCATGAACTAAACTGACGCAATCCATGGATGCTGTTCCAGTCCTGGTTATGAGACTCTCCACTGAGCGGGCAGTTTCTGCGTGTGATGGCTAAAATGTGCAACGTAACCAGCTGGGGCTGTAATTGACACTATCCACTTTAATTCTATAATGTTTTTCCGTGGAGCTGGTGGATTGTATAGTTTGTCTTTCCTTTTATGTAGCTGTAAATTCTCAGTTAATATCAACCTGGTGAATCTCACTCAGGAGAAGTTCTTGCATGGAGCCCATTGTCTCAGTTTGATGCTGGTTCAGAAAAATCAGGGCGGTGAAGAAACTGTACAGCAGCAAATGCGGCCTTTTCTCTGTCGAGCCACTGGCAGGGTGATAAAATGTGAAATTTCAGAGAGGACTCGGGAACGACTGTTGCGTAAACCGTGATTAGATTAAAAAGAAAGTCCTGACTTTGATTTGGGAAAAACGGAAAGAAAAGAAGAAAAAAAAACCATAGCATTTTGAAAGCCTGGATTCAAACATTTTGATGAATGTGTTTTTTATATGTTGAAAACAAGAAACACTAACCACTGACGGGACTGAAAAACCTCCTCTGCAGACATCACAAACGGAAGCGCCTATGTTTGAGCACTGCTGTGGACCTGTTGTATACTAATGACAAGGACTTGCTCCAAGAAGCGTATTTGTAACAGCTATCTAAGCTATGGACATTTTTTTTTTTTTTAGAAATGTTTTGTACATTGAAAATCTGAATCGCTTTGTACAGAATTCCAGAGTTGATATGTTTTTATTTATTTGTTCAGATCCTATTCTTTGATTTTCTGCTTGCTTTTCAACTGACATCAGCTTTGTATTAAATCAGACTCTTGATGTAGTATTTTGAATAACTAGCATGTATTGTAACTCAGTGGGGATGTCTGTTAGTGCTAAGTTTGGGTGTTCAAAAAAAAATCTTCACATTGAAAGGGACTGCTTTTTGTTGTCCACTCAGTAGTTTGAATTCAAATTAGGATATTCATCTGCTTTGTAAGTTTCTTTTTCTGCCAAAACACCCATAAATATATTTCTTGTACTGCTGCGCTCCTTATTTGTCTTTTTTCCTGGTGCTTGAGATCACTTATACCACATAATATAAAGCTAATTATTTAAGAAGTTTACCAAAAATTACTCCAGAAAAGTTTGTAATGTATATGCTCTTACTTTTTTTGTTGTTTTACATTTTACAATTCAGATCCAAGAAGCAATTCTGCAGTTTTCCAAGAAAGGTTAATGCTATATTACAACAAACACTAAAGGGGATGAAACGTTTTTTTTTTTTTTACTTATGTTGGATGGTTAAAATGCTTAAGTGAATTGACGTTTGCAATGCCAAATGTACATTTACGTGCAATGAAAACATCATCTGGAATGATGACTCCTAAATCCTGTCTGACTTCAAAGTAAGACATGAGTTTGAAGCAGCAGGAGACACTAGAGGGGGCCAAATCTCTTTGAAACAGAGCCAACTCTTTTCTTTTTAATTTAAACGTAGATACAAATATAGACTACTATTGTTGGAAAATAGGTGTTTATCTTCTATTTAATGTGACTTAGTCAATGTTCACTTGAACGCAACGTGCTGTAAAATCGACCACCCATGATCGCTAGGAAAAAAAAGCTTCCTGCCCAAATCTGGCAGGTGGAAACTGTAGACCATTATTACATAATCCAAAAGGAAGCATCCCACACTCTGTGCATTCACAAGAGTCTTAGGCTGTAATCTCACCAAATAAAGGAGCCCGGAGCAATGCATCCTTGTAGAAGTAGCTACTCGACGGAAATGGTGGTATGAATTATTTGCAAGGTATATACAAATGACAAGACAATGAAGAGGAAGAGCTTGAAACAGAAGCAAGAGCTGTTCATGCTGTGTTCAGTGTAACAAGGATCTGGGAATTGTAATATCAGCCAACCTTGTTTCAAATTCAAACTGCAGTGGAATTTATTAAGTTCACAGTGACTGTGTTACCTTGGCAATATGTGTATTTATTTTATTTTATTTTATTTTACTTCCCAATACTTTGGCAGCATATTATTTACTGCAGCTATCACTAAGTTTTATGTGAAAGGAAGCCCTTCACATAAAAGGGCTGCCTTTGAAGTCATGACCAATAAAAACTTCAGACTTTAACTCGTGGAATCTGCCCCCTAATTCCAACATCAAAGAAACAACCGAAACAGTCCACGCAACTATGTGGATATGATAGTACGGTGAACAATTAAAATTAACTGATGTGCTAGTTGTTATTAAAAGCTGAAGAAACTAGCATGCTTCACAGATCACAAAGTGTGTTTCAAAGAGTATTCGTTGTGGACAGGAATGTCTGGAGAAAAATATATTAAGACAAAGGCTGGGAGGTCAGGGAATGAACCTGAACTAAGTCAGTGGATGTGGCAGAAAAAGAAAGGTTTGTGTTGCCTTTTCTATAAAGCTCAAAAGTTTCAGCAGTGTTTTAAAGAATCTGTTCTGACTGTAGAGTAGTCCATGGGGTTGAACAGTTACAAGTAAGCTATTGATATTTTCAGTCACACTTACACCAAAGAAAACAAAAAATCACATAACAAATGTAAAAATGTGTTTAACAGTGTAGGAAGTGTGTAGCGATTCAAATTGAGATTATTCAACACGTTTTAGATTTTAATTAGTTCAGATTAATGATTTTAATCTGATCAGTAAACAGATGCAAAGTAAAACTTTACTGTTGACTGATTCGACACGAATTCAATCTCCGCACTGAATTGGATTTTAACATTAACTTTATTATATTTCTCTTTAAAAATTAAGACTATTTTTCCCATTAAACAAATGTACGTCTTTTTTTTTAACACAACACTAAAGTGTTGGGAAGGAAGAGTGGGGTTTCAGGAGACTATCACATAAGCTGCAGCTAGTGAGAAGTCACGCACATCAAGCAAAACTGGCCTGGAGGAAACAAAAAGTCTGTTTCCGGTCTAGATCTTATCTTTCAGGTGTGTTGATGTGGGAGTTTTAGCGAACTGGAGTTTACTTTGAAAGTCTGACCGGAACTCTCCTGTGACTTCTCCCTCACTTCACACCGGTGCTCTCCCATGAGGTGATGGAAAAAATAAAAAATCAAGCGCTCCAACTATCACCGGACACCGACGGGGAGTATACTCTCCGGACGCAGGTAAGGCGGACTCACTTGGCTGAGTCACCGTTTGCTTTTACTTTACTTTGTGAACCCATAACGCGAAACTAATGTGAAAACTTTAGAAATAACGCAGCTCGGGTTACGTTACGAGCTCCCGTTAATAGCCCCTTAGGGTGAATTGCTGAATAACTCATCGAAAGACAGCTTGTATCTACTGTTAATGGGATTGGATAAAATGTACTGCCATAGGTGCATTATCTTTATTAACATCACTGGGGACTTGTAAACACATTTAAACCAAATTCCTTATGACATATTTGACTGTCTCCTATTTGAGGGCTGTTCTTGTCTGACTAGTTTTTCCATTTTATGTCAACATTCATTCAGTCATTATAAGCAAGGTGTGGAGGTAGGCACACCTTGCCTACCCTATAAACGTATAAACGTTCAGATTTCAGCATTATGAGATATGAGAATGCTTGTTTCAATAGGTTGCAGCATTTATTTATGATCTGTCAACTAAATGGAGTGCTACTGTCAAAATATTTATCACCCATTCCCAGCTCTGTATGTGGCAATATCTACATCTAAATATGAAAACAGCATTAGAAAAAAAAATAAATTCTGTTGTGTTTTTTTTTTTTTTTTTTTTTTTTTTTTGGTTTTGTTGTGCCAAGCCTAAGATTGCCACTGGCCCCCTTTGAAAAACTTTCTAGCAGATGAAACTGTCTTGGCAGATGGTATTAATTTAAAGCCATGTTGACCTCCACTGTCCTTCCATCACCAGAGCGCAGCAGCATGATCCCAGTGGGTGAATTCAAAAGCCTCGGGATTGAGCAGAACTCCCAGTTCCGGGTGCTGAAACCATGGTGGGACGTTCTGTCAGAGTACCTGTGCGTTGCAATGCTCATGATTGGTGTCTTTGGCTGCACTCTGCAGGTGAGGTATCTGCCATCATGAAAGATATTTTACTGCATGTTACCTAATTTCTACAACTTAACATTCCTGGGGAGGTTAATTATTAGCTTCTTTTGCCGTGTTGTTGCACCCCGGAATGACATATCACAATATTAAATTCCCCACACACCCTTTTTTTCTGGCTCAGTGCAAAGCATAAAACATATGTACAGTTTGAAACACACCAAGAATAACTTAGCAACTCTGTTCTAATAAGCTACAGACATACAAATTGACTTAAAGATCTGTTTATAACCTAAGTCATCTTTTATTATCTCACAGTCACACTAAATACTTAAGAAAAATCCAGCCTTTAATCGTAGTGCAATCGTAGTGCATCCCACTGGATAAACATCCAGTGGGAAATAATAAAAAAAAAAAAATCATGTTAAGACAAAATTGCTTGTGGCACAATTGACACCCCAAACAATCCTTTCGAACAGTGCGGGGTTGCCAGGAAAGAAACTCTATCTTACCATTACACTCTTCAGGGATCTTAACTGGAACCATGCGCTTTGGTCAGATGACAGAAAGTATGGTGGAGGTTCTATGATGCCGTGGGCCTGTTAATCCTCAGAAGATCCTGGATAGATTGCTAAAGAGACTTTTTTTATATATAGTGACTTACATTGTGTTACATATGTTTATTTAATTGCCCTAATTTTGTAGAAATAAGTTTTAATGTGGACATTAAAAAGTTTTATTTATTTTTTATTTTTTTTTGTGGAAGAAAAAAGTCAGGATTGCTCTTGATTGATTTTTAAAAGCAATAAAATTGTTAAAACATCCAGGGGTGGGGGTGGTTATTTTTTCTATGTACTATATGTGTATGTTGATCAAAAGATAACGGTTAAAACTCCTACAAGAGCAGGGCCTCGTGAATATTTATAAATCATACAGAAGTTTGCATGTTTGCTGCAGTTAAAAGAAAGGAAGTGCAGAAAACCAGAATCCCAACACTTAAACTGTGAAAATGTGGTTTATTTCACATTATTAATAATTTGGGGGTTTTATCAGAATGCATTGCCACACATTATTTATTTGAAGTCTTTATGCTTTCGTTTCTAGCTAATTTACATAAAAATTTTCTATTTAATTTCCACAGCTAACCCAGGACAAGATCGCATGTCTGCCCAGCCATATCACCAGCCCAAAGAATGAGGCAGTAGACTGCAACTACATCATTGACTACAGCAATAACAACAGTGACAGCTCCATCGTCACAGAGCTGTTCGGTCGCAAGAATAACCTGGACATTCACCAATACTTGTTTGTTAACCACTATTGCTATGAGAGGTTTGTGCACTGGTATGCGAAGTACTTCCCATACCTTGTGGTGATCCACTCTATGATCTTCATGGTAGCAAGCAGCTTCTGGTTCAAATTCCCTGGGACATCTTCTAAAATTGACCTTTTTGTCAACATTCTGGGGAAGTGCTTTGACTCACCCTGGACCACGAGGGCCCTGAGTGAAGTTTCAGAGGAAAGAGGAGAGGAGAAGCTGGTCAGTTTGAGGAGGAGCACCATGTCGAAGGATTTCAAAGACCACAGGGCAGACGAGGAGGAGAATATAGGACTTCTTCGCTCCACCTCTGTCAAGTCTAATTCGGAAAAGAAAGTCCAGGACCCCCAGCCTACTCCTTCTGTGTTGGACAAAAAGGAGGGAGAGCAGGCCAAAGCTCTCTTTGAAAAGGTGAAGAAGTTTCGAACCCATGTAGAGGAGGCAGACATCTTGTACCTTATGTATGTGCTACAAACATCTCTCAAAGTCTTCAAGTTCCTTATTATCATTGTATACACTGCAGTCCTGGTACAAAATATTGAAGTAATTGTGCGCTGTGATGTTCCTCCTGACCTGACTGGGTTTCATGTCTTTTGCTGTACCCACACCAAAGCCCATCTTTTCTCCAAGCTTGCTTACTGCTACTTCTGCTTCGTAGGAGTGTATGGACTTATGTGCATCTACACCCTATATTGGGTGTTCCACCGACCTTTGAAGGAGTACTCCTTTGAGCACGTCAGACTGGAAACGGGTGTGATTGACATACCGGATGTAAAGAACGACTTTGCTTTCTTGTTTCATCTGGTGGACCAGTATGATGCTCTGTATCCTAAAAGGTTTGCCGTCTTTCTTTCTGAGGTAAGCGAGAGTCACCTCCATCAACTCAACCTGAACTACGAGTGGACCAACAGGAAGCTGCGCGCCCACCTTTCTAAGAACTCCAAAGATAACTTGGAACTCTGTCTTATGGGACTCCCAGGCCTTCCAGACACTGTCTTTGAAATCACAGAAATTGAATCACTCAGACTGGAGCAAGTTAAAAATGTTACAATTCCAGCTGGTGTGGCAAAGCTGGATTCTTTGCAGGAGTTGTCTTTGATCTACTGTCCAGCTAAGCTGCAACTGCTTGCCCTGAACCACCTTAAAGAACAATTAAAGGTTCTACGTCTTGCTTTTGAAAGTTCAGAGGAGATCCCTTTGTGGATGTATACCCTACATTCTCTGGAGGAGTTATATCTGACTGGTCCTTTAACTAATGAGGTGTCGAAAAGTGGCAACTTGGAATCTTTGCGAGATCTCAGTAATTTGAGACTCCTCAGTCTACGGTCCAACCTACGAAAAATACCACCCAGTGTTGGTGACCTGGCGTCACAGTTGAAGGCATTGTGCATCCACAACGAAGGGGTCAAGCTCCAGGCATTTAGCACCCTGAAGAAGCTAACAAACTTGGTTTCATTAGAGCTTTCAGGCTGTGAGCTGGAGCGGATCCCAAGCGCTGTTTTCAGCCTGAACAATCTACAGGAGCTAGACCTGAAGGAAAATAAGCTTTGCACTGTGGAAGAGATCCTGAGTCTGCAGCATTGCCGGCGTTTGGTGACGCTCCGTCTGTGGCACAATAAAATCACGTACATTCCTGATCACATCGCTAAGCTGCACACACTGGAGACGCTGGACATAAGCTGGAACAAGTTGAAAAAGCTTCCGTCTCGGCTGTTCTACTGCACCCGGCTACGGCACCTCGACATCTCCCACAATCAGATCACATCCATTCCTTCAGAAGTGAACATACTATCGGGTCTTCAGTTCTTTTCTGCTGCCTTTAACTCTCTAGAGTCTCTGCCAGAGGAGCTCTTCTCCTGTAAACGAATAAAAACTCTGGTTCTGAGTAACAACTGTCTTTCGTATCTTAGCCCGAAAGTGGGCAACCTGGCCCAGCTTGTGCGACTGGATATTAAGGGAAATCGGTTGGACTCACTGCCTTTGGAGATAGGGGAGTGTTCTCTTCTGAGATGCACTGGACTGATAGTAGAGGACAGCCTGTTCGACTTGCTGCCATCAGACTTACGAAAGAAGCTGAGTCAAGGCCGAGACTGAAAGCTGAGGATAGTCGCAAACGAAGAAAATCATGGTGGCCAGTTGTGTTCTGGCTTGCTTTGAGGAAAGAGTTTTGATTGTGGACAAACATGTGTATTACATGTGTGTTTTAGAAAAACACATATGCAAGTGTCTACTTTTATTAAAATATCTTTTTTACAGAGCTTGTTTCTTGTTTGATTTTGTTTTTTTGGGATGGTTGGGTGGTGTGTGGGCGAGAGGGAGGCTGGCCCAGCTCAAACAATAGTTCTCAAAAGGTTTACAAGGTTTACCTTATTTTGCACAAAATAAGGACTCAGACAGACCTATGTTGTTTTTGACTGGGGAGGTTTGTGCTGTATCCTGCAGAACAGGTTTTTACTACCCAGAGAGGAGTGTCCTTCTCTGTGTCGAGTCATGTTGCCCTCATTTAGGAGACACAGAGAAAAGGTTGATCTTTGAGACAAACACCAATACACTTAAGTTTTAATTTAATCATATATTATTTCTTTAATTGTAGGTAAGTGTTGTTGCATTAGAAAGACTATTCTGACTGTTACTAATCTGAAGATCATAATACTAAAAGATTAAATACAAAGTTTTTTTTTATTACATTCTTTCTCCATTAATTAATCCATGATTTTCCCTCTAAGCGTATTGAAGGTCAAACTCAGCAACCTGAAAAACAGTGAATTTTTCTGCTTCTGCTTTGTACCTTCAAGTCTATTATTCGTGTTCTGGCTTGCAGAGCATGACTAGAAAACAAGATCCTTGCAGTCAAATGAACAGAAATACCTCTGCTGTAAAATGCAAGGTAAGGTAATTTTAGTTATGTAGCACATTTTCAGCAGCAAGGCAATTCAAAATGCTTTACATGAATTTAAAGGAAATACAAACTAAATAACAAACCAAAGGAAAGAAGAAGAAAAATAATCTAATGTAACACTGACCCGCCCTCATGGCATTATATCATAGATGGTTATCTGGGTGTATCTGAGGAGTTTTGGAGTAGTTTGAACAACAGTAGCTGCACAGTATGTGCCAAATGCCACCATACCAGGTAAATCATTACCGTGTCTTTTCTGTTGTCATTAAGGGGGTGACGAAGTGTGTCACCAGTATTAGAAAGTTGTGGAAACGTTTCAAGCAGTTTTAGATTAAAAATCTATTTCCACATCTCACAGGGAACTGTTCATTCTATAATCCACAAAATAAATATTCCATAACTTCAAACTACAAACGCATGAGCACTCACTTAAACTGATAGGTCTAGAAAGGTGATTTAAAGCTAGGAATACAACACAATTCCCCCCCGATTTTATCATCTGGTCAGATGAGACAAAAACGCTTTAGTCTACATGTCAGACTGTCTGTCAGAAAACCAGAACTGCCTATCACCCTAAATACTCTGTTCCCCACAATAAAACATGATGGTGGCAACATCATGCTGTGGAGATGCTGTTCTTCTGTGGGGTTGACAAAGCTGGTCAGATCTGAGGGGGAAAATGAATGGAGCTAAAAACAGTGGAATTCTGGGAGAAAATATGTTAGAGACTGAAGCACAGTTTTTAGTTTCATTTTCCACAGAAGTCTAAGCACTAGGTGGTTTTGACAGTCATGTTTTTGACATGCCCATTCTTGTAACCCTTCTTAGGATCTAGAAGCAGGATTTCTTTAATAAGCTTAATTTGCTTTACAAAAAATAAGAAAATGTACCTTATAAGTGTAGATGTTAACTTTTCACCGTTACCTGCAGAACATGCCAACAATTTGACTCTGGAAGTATTTGCACACACAGCACACCCACCTTCAAACCAGTTGAGCAACTGAGCTCTACCCAGTGTCTGGTTGAGTGTCTCAATCTGACTCTTTCACTAATCAAGTTAAATGTATTTGTATTGCACAAAAAACAGCAACCAATTAATAAACAAGCAGTACACATTGAATTTTGTCAAATGCCACCATCAAAGTCATTAAGACTAATCATCAAATATACAAATATATTGATCACTGTTCCAGTTATGAATCAAATGCAATTCTAAACAGCTTTAGATTTGATCTAAAGGAGCTCATCGTTTCAGCTGTTTTATGGCGCATACAAATTAAATGCTGTTTCTCAATGTGTGGGTGCCTTTCTACCATTAGCACTCAGAAATATTACAATTTTAGCTGGTTTAGTTATAAACTTCAAGTCATCAGAAGTTGAAGAATTAGAAATGCCTTTATACCACTTGAGTTTGATTTATTCTACCATGTAATCATTTTAATTCAGATTTTTAAGCAATAGACCAATACGAAATAGCACAAAACTGTGAGGTGATGCAAACCTGAAAATCGTGGTGTACATTTGTATTCCGTTCTCCTGAGTCAATGCGTTGTAGTTACCGTTCACTGCAGTTACAGCTGCAGGTCTGAATACTTTTGGAAGGCGCTGTAAGTGACCTGTGAATACGGACTTCAACACAAAGAACACAGCAGCACAGTACCTGAACTGTATCTGCTCTCTCTTGTGGTGAAGAAGGAGGCGCACAGGCAAACAAAATAGCCATTGTGCCGTGAGAGTCCTGAGAACAAACAGCAGCAAACTGTGCCTCGGTTACCTAGGGTCTGTAACAAAAACAGGGCTCTCATTCATTTTTAGCTGCAGAGCAGTTATCTTTGTGACCTTTAACAGGGTTTTCTGATTCTGTGCATTCCATTTTGGACTTTTCAGCTTCGTCATTGAGGAAGTGTTAAAACACAAAAAATATTTAAAAAGAAAAAGAATATGGATCAAAACCTCTGATTATCTGGGTGCTCGCAGATACAAGAAAGACACTAAAGAATCTGTTTTGTCATTTTATTTTTAAATACCAAGAGTAGAGCGAGCTCAAGATAGATTACATTTTTTAAAAAAGACAATGAGAGACAATAAGACTTAAAGTTCATAACTTTATTTTGTGCTTTCTTCAAATATTAAAGTGAATAATCTCACTTTTGTCTTAAAGGTATTTATATAAATAACATTTCAACAAATCACATCAAATGTTGCTATTTACAAAGTCACAGGAATATTAATTCCTCTTCCAACAATAAATAAGAGTAAATTCAAAGTCCATCTAATTAAGAGAAACACAACTATGCAAAGCAATCAGGGTGCACCATTTCATTTTTGTAAATAAAAAAAAAAAAAAACATACATGTGTAGAAACTTACAATTCATACACACAATGGAAATAATGTAAAAAAAAAAAAAATCACATAACACTGGAGGACAACTATCTACAAATGTGCACTCCCAATTAACAGGGAAAGAATGTAAATATAAGGTGCCTAAACTGCACTGTGCAAAAGGTGTCTACAGTATATAGCCACCAATCCACTGAAAAGAAGCTGCCAAGACATCACGTCCCGTCACATTTTAATGCTCAGCTACCAAAAACCAAATTCATGTATTCAAGTTACCAGGTACAAAGCAAAAAAATTGAAAAAACACAAAAGAAAAAAAAGTGAGGTTTGAGTTATGCAGAGGATTAATTCTTACTATTCTTACTAACTGTGAATGTGAGCAAAAAGTGAGTTCATCATATCCAGCTCACCCAGAGATCGGGCAACGTCTATTGCTGTTTGACCACTGACGTTGGCATGTTTGAGGTCGGATCGTGGGGCCAAGAACTCCACGACATCCCGGTGGCCTTCTCGTATGGCGATGTGGATGGGGAGGGCGCCGTTCTGGTCCTGGATGTTCACTGAAGCCCCGTGCTCCACCAGGACCTGCAGGGTCTCCAGGAAGCCCGTCTGTGCTGCATCGTGGACAGGCGCTATGCCGTGTTTGTCCTGGACGTTGGGCTCAGCTCCTTTTTCCAGCAACAACCTTGCTACTTTGGAATTCCCCATCATCATCACCTGAAAAGAGATGTTAAATAAGATGAATGTAGATCACATAATCATTTTAAAACACCTTTGTGTAAATTGGTAAGCTATACAGTCAAAGACCTCTTATTTTCTCAGCTTTATGTCAGTAAGTACCCAACTCTATTCAGTGCATTTACTACAAATATCAACATGTCTTTTTTCACAAAACTTTTGAAATTTGTAAGTACATTTTCTAAATGTTTGTTCTTAATGATTGTATCTAAAAACAAATTGCAGCATTATAAGTTTATGTTAAACTAAGCCTTTATGTATAGTCGTTCCAATATTTAAAATCTCAAGATGTTCCCCAATAACAATAATAATAATAGATAACTCTGAACTAAAACTTTTATATTTGGAAATCCAAATACCTTAGCCGAAATATTAGTACCACTACTACTTCTACTAACAATAAAGATAAAGATCCTGAAAGCTCCAAACAATTTCACTTCTATTTAAATTTATAAACCCAATTCATACCGATGCGTTTCCATTTTGTCCCTTTCTAAATCAATCAATATCAAAACTTCAAGCAACTCATTCAATAATAATGTACTTGTACCTTTGCTCATTACTTCCAAATTTTAATGAATTACAAAAATAATCTGATAAATATGCTCAAATACAGGTGTCGCATTTTATTTTCTGAAAAGAATTACATTGAAATCTACCTTGTCAAACCAAATTTACGGATATGCCAAAAACAATTTCTTTTTGGAAGTCAAAAACATATTTTGTGATAGACTATGACTATGCTTTATATGGACATCAAAGTGAAAAGTGGAGGCGGAGCATAATGCTCATTTACCATGTCATGCTTTTGTAGTTTTCATTTGTAGCTACAGAATGTTTCAAGGTAGGAATTAAAGATGTTTGCACATGATGTTTCAGAACATGACGAGTCCAGCATGTATGGAAAATATGATTTTTTTTTTTTTCTGGGGTATTTTGGACATACAAACAGCTTTCAGCAGTATGTGTGTACAGGGGATGCTTTGAATTCTAAGTACGTCCCTGCTACAAACAAAAATAAAAGGATATGCCATCATTTAACTACACAGTATCCAACAACAGACGACGCCTTTTCGTAGCCGAAAAACTCGGATCCCAAGAACCAAAGCTACAAAAATACGAAATGATAAGCGGCAATAATTCTGTAAATTGGGGATTAAACGGTAAATCCAAAAGAAAAAAAATGGCATTGGTAATAAAGAACCCACTCAAAATAAATGCAAAAATATAAAATGTGAAGTAGAAATTATGTAATTTCCGTTAACATAACAGGGCGGA